GGTTTTTTTTTTTTTTTTTAGAAATCCATATCGGCCCATGGAGAGTTTATGGATGCGCCGAGCCACGACGCGTGGAAGGGTCTGTGGGCGCCCCCTATCTCGCCTAGGCGTGGCAACAGTTGAAGGGAGTGCGCGCGAGGGAGGTCTGCAGAGTAACTGTCACACGTGTCGCTGTCGACGACGACGGCAGGCGAGGAATCGTCGTCGGGGCCCGTCCGTTTGGTCCATGCTTTCGGTTCGTCGACCCGTCGTCCACCATAAAGGTCTTCCGCTTGCGCCTTCTCCAACATTGAAGGTCGGCGCACACGGTGCACAGCGACGACATCCACGCGGGATGCCCTCTGCCTTTTCTACTCGTCGTCGCAGCGCAAAGCCACTACGAAGTCGCTCGTTTCTTCGCTGTCGTCGTCGGCTTGGTTTGTCTTCGGCGTCGTCGTTTCTTCGCTGTGGATCTTTTCGATCTCCTTCTCGCCGTGGAACCTTCTCGCCGCGGATCCGTATCGCTCCTTGAGTGGTCCGGCGTCCATCAGTCGCCAAGATCTTCTTCTCGTCGCGGAGCGGTGCACGTTGGCTTCGTCTCCTTCACGTGCGGGACTTCATCAGTGTCCTCGTCGATCGTCGCTCTCGCCCTTCGTCGTTCTCCTTCTCGCCGCGGATACGTTTCGCCCCTTCGGAGGTCCGCCGTCGCTTCGCAAAGATCTTCATCTCGCCGCGGAGAAGTGTTCGCAGGGTTCATCTCCTTCTCGCGTTCGCGTCGACGTGGACGTGGTGTGCATGGCAAGGGCGAGGACGAATTGCTCCCCAAGGCGGCAAAGGCGCTTGTTCGTCGTCGACGCGAACAAAGGCGTGGCCACAAACGGTCATTGACGGAGGCGGGAAACATGTCTATGCGCAGCGGCGCCCGTGGGAAGAAGCGGGAAAACATCCCCGCGAACAGTCAGGGGAGGGAAAGGGGTCGGCGACATGTCCCAAAGGCGAAGAGGCTCCGTTCAGAAGAAGCATCAGCTAGCCTGCCTCATCGGCGAGGGCGAAGTTGGACGGCAGCCAACGAGGAGGAAGATGACGACGTGTTCACGACAGAGGAGGAAGCAGTAGAGGAGAACGTGGCGGCGCCTCCGGGAAGCACTCTTCAACGGTCGTGTGATCAGAGCGGTGCGAGAAGATTGGCGACACCCCCTCCGGAGGCACAACAAGTGCGTGCGCACAACACCCAGAAGGCGAAGGAGGTAGTCGTCGATGTCGGCGGTGAGGACGACGAGCCGTTGGAGAGCCGCAGATAGCGCAATGTGACACAAGGTGCCACGGCAACGACAGTCAGGATACGCGCCGCGACTAAAGAAAGGCCACCTCAGGGTGGCCTGCCCTTGACGCCGTCCCAGCCGCGCCCGCGCAACACGGCTGCAGAGGGGGGCTCCATGGAACGCGGGGGAGGGGAGGGGGCCCAGCAAGAAACGCGCGTGGCGGGTGGGGTTGCCATCGCTGCTGCAGCCGCGGTGTCTTCGAGCAATGTTGGTGTTGTGGCGAGGGCGAGAGAAGAGGTCCCAGTTGTGGAGCGGGAGGCGGCGCGCGTCGACAACAAGGGGGAAAGGGAGGATGAAGACCCCCTTCTAAGCCGGGTTCGGAGGGGAGGAATGGCAAGAGATCTGGCCGACCGTGCCCGCCTGTGGGTCGATGACAAAGCGTTCTGGACGACGAGGGAGCGGCGAAGGCTGTACAACATCGTCCACGAATTGCGGGAGTACTTTGTCGCCATCGCCAACGGAATGTAAACGCCCCCCGTGCCCAGGAGCGTCGTCATGCCGAAATCGTCGACGACCCTCACAAGGATTGCGGATCCCCCACAACTGCACGAGGCGATCGCCCACGCGACGGCAGCGGAGAATATCGCTCTGCACGTCTTGCATGGATGGGTCTTCAAGTCCGGGAACCGCCCCCGAGGATTCAATGTCGCTTTCCAGTACGCGTTGGAGTTGGTGGCGACGGACATTGTGCGCGTCATGTGGAACGGCGAGGAGTGGAGTAACGTCGTTAGCGCGCCCGTTTGCGCGCACACAATCGACCTGAACATGGACTTGCCATTGTGGTTTGCGGGCACGAACATCGAAGGCAGGCCGGAGGACGACGACATGGCGGCTCACCAGGAGTCTACCGTCATATGCATCGCGCATGCGTTTCGCGCCACGGTGCAAATGGGTGGCATCGTCGACGGCGATTTCATCTCGCACGAGCGTCTGTGTAGAATTGCGGATTGCTTCAGATTGTTGTTGGCTGCTTGCATGTGGTTGATGCGCATGGCGGGAGACGCTGCGCGCAGCCACTACGAAGCCTTTTACTTCGCAAAGCTGGTCGCGAAGCCCACGCTCGTCGCGTCCATGCATCGCGCTTTCGATCATCGGCAGTCCATCATCCGAGCCACGAACGCCGTCACGGAGAGACTGGGGAAGGCGAACGCAACACTCGGAGAGTACCCGAAGTACATCCCCGACTGGGCTTCCTGCGGCATCGTCTTTGGGCAAGATGCGAGCATAACGGGGCCAGAGGACGCGAAAAGGAGGGATTGGTTGGGTTTCAGCCCCTTGGAAGACGAGGACGACGACGATGGAAAAGAGGACGCGTAGGGGGGGCGGTCGGGAGGGAGAGGGTGTCGCCGGTGCTTACACGTGCAGCGCGGGAGAGGGTGCGCGAACGGGTCTCTTTTTCCGGCGAGGGTAAGGGAAGCGGAGAGGGGGCAGGTCGAGACGGCGTCGAAGACGAAGTTCTGGTGGCGCCACGTAGCGATGACGGATGGCTGATGGCCTCCTCCTTCGTTTCGCACGTGTGCACCGTCTCGCTCGTACATGCAGACGCCCGACTTTTTCGGTCGTGCGCTTCGGTTGGGTGCGTGATGCAACTGCGTCCGTGGTTGCTTGTGGACGTCGATGTTGTTTCGCTGCCAATGGTGGAGAAGCGATGGTAGTCGGGGTTCCCTTTGGTAGATTGTAGGTGCTGTGTACCTTTGTTCGATGTTTTGTTGTGTTGTTGTCGGCGCAGCTTGTGGCGAGACAAGTTGATTGCGCTAGGTGCGCACCTTTATTTTGTTTGTATTATTTCAATACAGAACGATATTTCGTCAGTTTTAAGATCTACACTCACTTTCTTTGGTTACTATTTCGTTTTCGCATTGTTTCAATTCAGATGGAGAGTTCGTCAGGGTTTTTTTTTTTTTTTTTTTTTTTTTTTTAACAAACGCAATGGCCCCATCTATTCTGGGGGGCAGCAGTCCGGTTGCTTATCACCGGCAAGCATGGTGAGGAGAAAAGGGAGGAGAGAGGGGGGGGGGAGGGGGGATGAGACGGGGGAAAAAGAAAGGCCTTACCCTTGTGGCACTAGTCGCCATGAAGGGGGTACTGCTAGGACCATCCTTCCCTCATATCCCGGTCCCATCAGGGGGGCCCGCCCAGCCGGGAAACACACACTGGTACCTAGACACCGGAAGGGTCCCTCGGAAGGGGGGGGGGGGCTAGTAGTCTCCTGAGCCCGTATGTCAAAACACCGTTTATGACCGCCAGTTTCCATCAATCCCTGTCATCTTGTCCTTGCACAGCTTAGCTATCGTGGTAGTGCCTAGTACAGAATGTCAACTTGTTGCAACGTCCTACTTCGAGACAAGGACATCCTACTTCAGAACAAGAGAACCTAGCTTTAGTAATGTTTATCAAGGGAGGAGCCCCAGCCTACAGCTGCAGTCCACGACCTGACTCAATTAGGGAGCAGCATGTTCTTAGCTTACCTGCTGCTACTACTATCGAATGGCCGGCGTCGGAGGTGATGGAAGTCCCCGGCGTCAACTACTAACCTTGAATGCCGCTGATAGTACCTGCTCTCCAAACCGTACCAGAGAACTCAACCCCAGCAGTTTTGTACGAGTTATTTTCCCATCCCCAATCCCTACTTACTGTACACTACTCCGCCACCCTATCTACTGTACAGACTCTACTCTAAGTCTTGACATAGATCACCCTCATGCAAATGTGGGCTAAAGTGGAGCCGCCCAGGCTGCTCGCTTGGGGTCACCAGGGCGTCGAACGGAGCCCAGCGGGTCCAAAAACGCGCCTCCCCTTCAGCAGTTATCTCGGTGCACTGCGCCATGTCACTAGAAATTGTCGTTTTAATGTTTTCCACTCCACGTCGCCTGAGCGCCGCTGGGGCACTCTGCGCTCCCTGCCTGACCTGTTCGTTACTCATTGCCCAGACGGTCCACAGTAGCTCAGCCCTCAGCATCTCCCCCGCAATCAGCCGGTCCTTGCCCCCATGTCGCGATTGCAGGATGGGCCCCAATAGAATCCCAGCTGCATCGTCTTCCGTGACCTGCAGCGGGGTGTCGTCCGCCAGGCCTGCCCACCATTCCTAGAGGGGGCGCACTAGGGGGCACTTGGCGAACATGTGCGGGATGTCCTCGACTTCCCCGCATCCGGCACAGGCGGTGTCATGGTACTGGCTTTTGGAGGCCTGCCATTCCGCAGTGGGATTGCCAGGTGCGCGATGAGCCATAGCAGACCAGCGTGCTTCTGATCGGGGAGGGTTGCCCACACTGCACATTGACACCTCCACTTCCTCTTGGTCCACCCTTCTAACCGCGCCGGGGGTAACCAGTGCTGCTTCGCCCACCGGTCCCTTAGCTCATCCCAAATGTCCTCACAAGGGAGGAGCGAACGGTAGATAAGCTTGGTTGTCATTAGCTGGGGTTGGACCTTCTTCGTTAGATGGTTCTGCTTAGGCCAGGTCCAGTCCTGCGGGTCCCATGACAGGTCCCGCCGCCTCCGGGACAGGCAGTAGGGCCGCCCACCTTCCTCAACTCCTTTGGCACCTTGGCATACCGCGACCGTTTCGACCATCCCCTTGGCCAGGCTGCCCCCGTTGCCGTGTCTGATCACTGGGTTCCCCAATCCCTGATGTCCGGTGGTGACAGCCCACGATGTGACGGAGAGTTCGTCAGTTTTAAGATCAACAAGTTATGTGTTTCTTGGATGCACATTCAGACGTCTCTTCTCCATTTGCATGTGCCATCGTCGCTCATTGCTTTGTTTGCTTTGTATGTCTTATTTTCCTCCCCCTCGTACTCCGATTGACTAACAAAACATGTGTTCGTATCCCCGTCCAACACTCGCATGAAGACGAAGCGCAGCGATTCAAACTACATGAAATGTCCCAAAAAACATGGTGTGAATATGCAATGGCACACAACATTAACGCAAAGAAATAGCAACACACAATATAGACGCAATGAGATACACACACACACATACACACCGCCAACACGCAATGGAAATGGACGATACATACTTAGAAACGGATTTGCGATGTCGTTAAACAATTCATAGTTAAGAATTCAAAATGGAAGAGAGGTGGGGGAGAAGTTCCACGCCCACCCGAATGACGAACACTACTCCAACCTATGTGGTGAAAAATCGCCGCACTTCACACCCGCAGTGCGCCGAGTCCGCACTGCACACCTCCGACGGCAACAACTGTAATCGAAAAACAAAAAATTAAAAGGACGGTGACGCACGTCCGCGAATCGCGACGGCAAACCAAGACGACCCTCGACGCAATCAACGAACCCGACGCAGGACAAAACCTAGCAACCCAATCAAGGTTGGACGAAACGACTGATCTGCCCTCCGGCCACTGCAGTGAACGCGCCCCCACGCGCGGCCGTCCCGCAAGGGGAACATGACCCTCCACGCAAACCACCAACCCCGACGGGGTACAAACGACAACGACCCAATTAAGGCAGGACGGAATCTGCCCTCCGCCCATTGCTGCAATGAAAGCACTTCCACGCGCTGTCGTCCACAAATGAAACACGACTCACTCGTGTTTCAATCTTTCCGCCAAAGCATCCCTCAGCACCAACGCTTCGTCTGTCGACGTCAACTTCGAAATAGGCTGGAGGGGCTGTTCGATCCCCAGGTCCACACGTCGTCGCACACCATTGGCGTCGACCTCCCACAGCAGATTATCGTTGAAGGGGATTCCTGCGTCGATCAGCATGTTGTACAGTATGCATACGACGGTGAATTGTTGCGGGAGCGTGTCCAGATTTGTCTTGTGTGTCCGCAGAAACAGCCGCCACATGCCCTTCAGCCTGCCGAACGCCCTCTCCACCGCTCCCCTCGCCACCTTCTGTTTGTTGTCGAACCGTTCCTCGTCGACGTGCTGATTGATGCCTCCATACGGAACGACCATCCATTCGGAAGGGGGGTACCCATTGTCCGCCAGAACGTACCCGTTTGTCTTCACACCGAACGGCAGTGTCACGGGGGGACCACGGAACAACGACCCCTCCTCTGCGCGCAGCGACAGGCTGGACAACTGCAGCACTCTGATGTCATGGCAGCTACCTGGGTATCCCATGTGCACGTCGAACACACGCAAGTCCAGGTCGACGACAACCTTCGCGACGATGGAGAAGCGACGCTTCCTATCGTAGTAGTTTTCGCTAGGAGCGTTCGCCGGCTTGTCAACGTACACGTGAGTGCAATCAATGCAGCCGTGGCAGTTGGGGAACCCTTTATCAGCAAATGCCCGCAGAACGACGAGTTTACGAAGTCCTGTCAGCCACAAAATCTTCTCTCCGAACACTCTTAGTAGCGCGGCAGTAACGTCGCGGATGGCAATCAACCCAGAAGCCCGGCCAATCCCGAAGTTGCACGTGCTGCTCTCGTATGTCTCTCCTGAAGCCCACCTGTACAGCGCGTACGCCAAAATCTGGTCTGGCTGCAAAGGCTCCCCGTAGAACGTGACCCGCCGCTGAAGATGAGGTGCACACGCCTCCGCAATTTCCCTGAACACTCGCGGCGACATTCGAAGCTTATCCTGGAAGTAGTCGTCTGTCGCGTCGTCGCATTGCCTGAGGTCTTCCCACGTGCCTCCTGTCCTACGCTTCACCCACCACCGCGGCGTCGCACGTGGTATCACTCCGCAACCCAACCCAACGCGTAGCACAGCTGAACAACAGCCTTCGACGTCGCCACGTAACCGGCCTCATCGAACAGATCTTGCGTCAATTTCCTCCGTCTACGCGCGCGCAATTGGTCCTTCAGCCGCCCCAGCGCCCTCTCCTGCTGACATCGAAGAACGATCGTGGACACGGCCGTCGCCACTGCCTGCAGCTCACCATGACTCAATGGATCAAGTCTACCCTGTGTGTCCATTCAACGGGGAACAGGATTTTTTCAACGCCGTTGTACCCGTTGAATAGCCCCGGGCCCCCCGTTGAAACCCCATTGAACGGTACAACGGGGCCTTCCCGTTGAATACTGTTCAACGAGATGCTGGCAATGGGCCTCGGACATGTGGCGGGATACGCGTGGAAAAAAAAAAAAAGTAAAAAAAAAGAG